GGAAAAAATAACACAAAAGACGTTATTTGTAACGATTTTATTTTGGTTATTTGATTTGATTTAGCTCAAGGAAGTACATCAACCGATTAGGGCCAAGGAAATATATACAGGTAGAAACAACAGAAGGAGAAATAAAATTGAGGCGGTGAAGCGCGATGCCATCTGGGATACCATCGAAAATCGCCGGTTATCAAAACAGTGCAGAGAAAAAATATGTTTTGTGGCGGTTGACCGTTTGATAGTTATTCCAAAACAGCAAAAGAGGCACTTCACTTTAAAGTCTCGCTGTTTTCAGCAAGCAAGAAATTACTATTTAAAATGGACCTGTGACCGACTTCAGCGAACCAAGGCGGAAACCAGATAGGGAATGGACATGTTGTGAAAGAGGAGAAATACATATGATACAACGCTGATCGAGACGTTTACAGCTATACCATTAGACTCGTGGAAATACAAGATGACGGAGTGATGTAACAAAAGGTTAGGGGAGAAGCAGAATCTTCCAAAATCAATGAAAAGGACGAAGCGTCTAATAATGCTATAGGCCAATAATCCAGACAGATATTATGTTTCAGTCCAAGACTGCAATGTACCTCGGGTGTTTATATGTGTGAACGAGTGTGTACGTGTTTGTTTGTTTGTTTGTGCGTGCGTGCGTGTGTGTTGTGTGTGTGTGCGTGTGTGTGTGTGTGTGTGTGTGTGTGTGTGTGTGTGTGTGTGTGTGTGTATGTGTGTATGTGTGTGTGCGCGCGCGTGTGCCTGCATGCTTTTATGGTGCAAGATGAAAAATTAAGTAAAAAGACACACTAGGGAAATCATAGAACAACAAGACAGACAAAGGTAAGAAATACAAACTATCACACAGAACACTTATTCCCCCACTTTTGCTTTGACATGATTATTTCTCCAGCGTTTATTCAATCAAAGATTGCTCAGACCCAAGAGTACTTGATGCGCTTTTCATCAGAGCTGAGTTCAGTACCCAGCAAAAAAATAATGTTCGAGCAGACCTTTGTAGAGAGCACACCAAAGAGGAGAATACTTCACTCCTAAGATGGGTCTGGTTCTAATTGTTAGTTCTCCCAACCCCCACCCCTATTTACACGTGATTTAGATTATCTAGGATGAGATGTACTTCTGCGACAGGGTCAATGAGTGGGGCAGCAGTGGCGATGAGTGGATGAAAGCGTGGGTGGGGCTCAGAAATAAGGGTAGGTTGAGTTAAAAGGTACGATTTCCTCAGTTCAGAGTAAAACTTAGATGTGCGTGAGTTTGTATATGTGTGTATGTATGCGTGTAGTCGCAGAAACCGAGACATATCTAACGAGGACTCAATAAGCGGGTTGTTTTCTGGGTCTGTGGTGGAAAGCGTGTCATAAACTCCCCCCCCCCCCCAACCCCATTGTTAGAGCTTGAAGAGCACGAACCCTCTGTGCTACAGCTTTCTCGCGTCCCTTTTTAAGCTCGTTTACCTTTTTACAAAAAGAGTTTCCGAGAGAAAGTGTGAGAACGGGCTTGTCATTGGCTTGGCTCTAAAGATTTTTTGATTGGTTGTTAGGTTACTATCGCTGTACACGGTGACAACACAGAATAAATAAACGAGCAAGTGCATGCGTTCACTGCGTGCAACTGGAGGTGGAAGATTTTACAGCAGTCTTAACGGTTTCAACTGATTATTTATTTAAACAATGAAACATTCATTTACGCAAGGAAAGAGTTGGTGGGGGGGGGGGGGGGGGGGGGGGTAAGCTTTTTAGCCCTTCACTAAGCTCCGCCACTGGGAGCAAGCATCAGTAGTGAATCGAACATCGCAGACACCAATCGTTTGGCTCTGACATAATCAAATGTCATGACCGAATAATGCCTTTCAGCATCGTAAGACTGTCCCCATAGCCCTATCTCAGCTTATGTGGGTAATCGGTGGTTGACATAATGAAGTGCTCGCAAGTAACCGCTTAAATGTATGTCTAAACTTCCAATCGCCTTCACAAAAACCCGTCAGCCAGTCTTCGTCCTTTGTACACGAAGCTGTCTAACCCTCAGCCTATTCGTATGTAGCACATACATTGTTCCATTATAGTGGCTTTTCTTCTTTTTTGGGAGGCGAGGGGTGGGGTGTCAGTCAATTTTCTATTCTGTGTTTAGGTGTTCGGATATGAATTTCTCTCAGGAAGGGAAAAATTTGAAACATGGTAACAAACATACAAGGGAAGAAACGGGTAACAAGATGCAAATAGGTATCCAAGGAGAAGAGTATCATTTTCCGTTGTAGTTTCCCCTGCCTCTTTCAAGAAACTCTCGACTGATTTTTAGAACAAAGGTTTCGTATATCCCATTGCAGAGCCTCAAGACATGTGTCAGTGATGTAGCGGTAAGGAGCTTCGTCGTAGAATACAGAAGACTCGAGCTTAATTTCCGTGCGGGAAGCTCTTTTATCCAGTATCTGTGTTCCTCTTGGGTTTTTGTATCCCTTACAGCCCGGGTTGGCCCTTACAGTCAGGGTTGAACATACATTCATATAGGCCCTTTAGCATGTCTGCAATGGTCAACACTAGTACATGTATTTGCATATTGTTTTCTAAATTAAGAGTCGTTGTGTTTAATCAGTATTTGATTTTGACTGTTAATATTTCCCTCTGCCATCAGCACATTTCAGATAATTTAGAAGACTGGGTGCAGAGCACGAACCCTCTGTACTACAGCTGTCCCGAGTCCCTTTTTAAGCTCGTTTACCTTTTCACAAGAAGAGTTTCCGAGAGAGGCTTGTCAGGGGTAACCAGAGCTAAAAGGGAGACATCATTTCAGCACACAGTCGGAGATACTTAATATAAATATGTTTTCTAATATGGGAATCAAACTCGTGTTACACCACAGGTGACCGCCATATCAAAAGAGCGGAGAATGAAACAAACATAAACAACTGAAGGAAGAACGTTAACCTGCCAAGAAGACGCAGATTCGTTCGTGCCAAGCTAAAACTTCAAATTAAATATTCAAATTTTGTGAAATACGTTTTGTCACTTCAGTTGCTTCAGTGAGCGTGGGTGTGATTTAAATAAGAGAGTCAAAACTCCACTTGAATTTCAAATAGCCGCCACAACGCAGCCCATGCGCATATTATAGGTTAATGAAGCTCAAAGGTATAAGCTCAAAATAAGCTTAGAGAAAGTACACTAGGCAATTCTGGGGGAAGTGTCGACCGACACCCTCGTTGGTGATTACAGATCGCAATTCCGTTACCTGTGCTGATCTGATTAACCTTGGAGAGAACTTACGAGGGATGATATTACGTTACTGTCCTTGCCCATCTGTTGCAGATGTTTCACGCTGCCATTCTATAGCATCTTTCAACGCAAAGTCTTTACATGTACTTCGGGTTTAATTAAGGGGTTTCAGTTTGCCAGTTTGAAATGTCTAAATCGCCTATGTTTTTGTCATATATTGAGACAGGTTTATGATCTTTGAAATCACGCATTCTTTAGAAGGTAGTGACGCGTACTTATCTAACTGTACTGTATTGTTGCGGAGAGTGACTGCTCTTTTTTCTAGAACTAGACCACAATGAAGAAGGTGTTTTGACCAATGGACCCTCAGTTATAGGATTGTAGTGTTCATATCTATCAAACCTCCCTCCACCCTCTGTCTCTCTTTCTCTCTTCTTTTCTCTCTCTCTCTCTCTCTCTCTCTCTCTCTCTCTCTCTCTCTTTCTCTCTCTCTCTATCTCTCTATCTCTCTATCTATCTATCTATCTATCTATCTATCTATCTATCTATCTATCTATCTAGCTATCTATCTATCTATCTATCTATCTATCTATCTATCTATCTATCTATCTATCTATCTTGTTTTGTTTCCACCCCCACCCCCCACCCCAAGCTATGAAAATCCTTTCTTGACTCTGTTCATATTTATCCACCAAAGTCAATGCCTCTTCAACCTCCGTGTTTGACATGTTTATTTAAACATGCTGTACAGGATGTACGGACTGCTGTCACTTCTCCATAACAATAGAAATTGTTCTACACCCAGCGACAAAATATAATTCACAGAGGAATCTTTGTATGTGACACTCATTTGTCAAAAGGGAAATAACGAACATAGCATAGCAGGTTTTCGTGGTATGAGTAATACTCTTCCCAACAATTTAATTGATCTCATTTGCCCCTTTTTAGCTTACATCTCATACATCAAATACATGCTGAAAACATAATATGCAATCCCAGATCAACACGGACAGAACGCTTTTCAAAGGCCACTGAGAATTCTCTGAACACAATAGTAATATGATAAATTTGGAGAACAGTTTTACACAAAGCGCTTTACAATTGCCCATGGTCCAGGGAGTTGGGCCATGCTTGGCAGTAAGGCCTATTTTGCTTGGACTTGGACCCGAAGGTTCCTTGAAGTTCATTTTCACAAGGTTGCAGATCTAAAAGCCACTACCACGGTTAAAAGCATATACGGTACAATTGGTAACAGGAAATTAAAGTGGTATCTTTATACATCAAGAACTCCTTATCGGGAATATTTGTAATGGTAAAACTGAAGCTTTGTCTCGAGTGGTGTTGTATAGCGAAGATAATACAATTCCTGGATCAAGTTTCATACTACATTTTCGGTAGCATATAATATGACATGTCGTAATGTTTGGAATCATCCTTAACATCTTGACAAAATCGCTATGAAGCCAAAGAACTAGAGCGGTAATTTTTAAAGTCCGAAACGTGTTTGTTTCTGGAGCACAAATAAAGAAAGAAACGGTTGCTGTGATAAAATTAGTAAAAATTTAGCTAGTTGTGTAAGTCCAATTTTCGAATTCGAGTAATGTTAAGAATTGTCTTGTCATTTGAGGAATAACTTTTTTTCAGCTTAGGGTACTGGTTCCACATGGGGTGTTCTTTTTCCGGTGTGGACACTATGTCAACAACAACAACAACAACAACAACAACAACAACAACGACAACGACAACAGCAACAGACATTTACAACAAGGTACTCACCAAGAGCACTGGCCCCTGCATAGCTGGATTCTGTCACTTGGGCCTGGGCCAAAGGAAGAAATCCACAGCAGAAGAAACACCAGACGCCCAACCCGAACATGGCGATCACATGACTAGTGAGCGACTTCATCGTGCACAGTTGGAATAAGACCAGTTGTTGAAAACCTTTGTAATGGGTGATTCTTTCTCTTTCAGGACTGCACAACACATGCCTTGTTTTCTTTTATAAGTATCAGTGCATACACGCCTGAAACCGGGAAACATAATGGTAGGTGTTTTTAGTCGCCAGCGCTGTCTTTGTGATACTCACAGTCAAATGAAAAGGTTAGGTGCGGTGTGGAGAATCACCACCACAACAGGAGACTTCAAGTGCGTGGCTCTTAGTCGTGCTCAGCTCCATAGACAATAGAAACAACCTTTCTTCACTCAGCGCTGAACTGCGATCTGACAGGGAAGCTGTTTTCACATCAAAATGTAACTTTTAGTTTCTGCAGATGCCTTTTGCGAAAAGTAATTGTGCTTCATTTGCTTTTCTAACCTCTTTCTTTGAAGTAATAAATTGTGATCAGAAAAGTCACACTTCAACTTTCTCGACAATCTCTGGCGTCTGTTTTCTGAAACCGAAGATCGAGAATGACATTCTGATTATTTGAAGCGACATTCGATATAGCTGCTTCAGATTCTTTCGATCAGCTATATATATTAATATGATTGCTTTCCCTTGTGCCCTCAATACTTCACTCCATGAACAACGACAAGGGGCCGTGAGCTAAAAGGTCACACATGCGCTAGGAAAATATTGATTTGATCAAGATTGTGCATAGCCGAGTACGGGTAAAACTGGAAAGATCTCCGATAGTCATCACTATACGCGGTGTCAGTCCGAGGCATAGAAGTAGAAACTGCTTACAGTAAAGACAAGACGCGCTATCCCCATTATAATATAACCGAATTTACACTGGAAAAGTCCGTCTTATTTAGAGAGAGATGTGGGGGTTAGTTATTTTTGTTGTTTGTTTGTTGCAGTTGTTGTTTTGTTGTTGTTGTTTGTTTTTGTTTGTTTTTTTTGTTTTTTGGGGGGGGACCGGAGTTGCTTTGTTTTGTTTGGGGGTTTTTTAATAGTATTTTTTTTCTTATTCATCTTTGTTTTCGGGTTGGTGGCTTTTTACAGAACAAAGTGTTGTCATCCGTTGCTCATTAGCTTCTCCATCTCAAGAGGTGCGTCCCACTCAGCGTGTTTGCTTTTCTCTTCCTTGTTTGCTCACTAATTATTTCATTTTTACGGAGCATTGTTTTCTTAAAATGTGACTGGTTTTTTTGTTGTGTTTTTTTTTGGGGGGGGGGGTTTGGGGGATGATGGAATGCAACGGCGTCTCCACTCAGCGAATAAAAGAGGTTTTGGACATGCAGTGAATTGCATTAGTAAAATTCCCGAGGAGCACATTTTCCAGTTCATCGGCTTGCAAAAGTATACTTGGTAATCAGTGGGAATATTTTGTCTGAATGTTGGAGATACTTGCCTAACAGACTGATCGATTCACATCTTGGAGGAAAAGAGTAATGGCTGAATGAAGAAAGGAAGGAAGACAGCAAGAAATAAGGAAGGGAGGAAGGAAAGGAGGAAAGAAAGGAGGAAGAAAGAGGGAAAGAAGGAAGGCAGAAACGGATAAGGAAGGGACGGAGGAAGGAAGGAAGGAAGGAAGGAAGGAAGGAAGGAAG